GCGTGCGATCGGCATGTCCCACCCATGCCATCCCGTGCGGCCACGTGCTCTCTGGTGCCAGGCTCCTGGCTGTCTGCTGGGTTGGGGAGGGGGCCTGCAGGCTCGGGCACTGGGGTCAGTGGGGTGGAGCTGTGGTGGGAGGCAGGCTGTAGCAGGGGCTGGACCGGCGGGGGGCGGGGGGCACACAGACCCACGCCTGCGCTCTCTCTCCCTGGCTGCAGCTGTACCCAGGATGGGCTGCGTGCAGTGCAAAAAGAAGGGGTCCGGCAAAGCCCAGGGCGAGGGCTGCGATGGCAAGCTCAGCCTGGTCCCCAGCACCCACTATGACCCGGACCCCACCCAGCCCGCCGCCAGCTTCAGCTGCATCCCCGACTTCAACAACTTCCACGGCTCCCCCACGCCCGCCGGCACCGCCTTCCTGGGGCCCGGCCTCTACCCCAGCAACACCCTGCATGGCCGCGGGGGTGGCATCACAGGTCAGTCTCCCCCAGGAGCCCCCACGCCCAGCACGTCCTCACTAGGGGCTGGTTCCAGCCCCCGGGCTCTCCCGGGAGCAGCGTGGGTCCCTAGGGCAGGGCTCTGTCGGGGGGTAGGGGCTGCCTCGTGAGTCCCGAGAGGCAGGCAGGTCTCGGGGTGCTGACCGGCTGCCCCGTGCCCTACAGGCGGGGGCGTGACGCTGTTCATCGCCCTGTACGACTACGAGGCCCGGACGGAGGACGACCTGACCTTCCTGAAGGGGGAGAAGTTCCACATCATCAACAACACGTGAGTCCCCTCGGCGCCAGGTTGCCCCACACCCCCCGTGCGCAGAGCTGGTGCACTGCATCCAGCTCAGAGGGGTGCCAGGCTGGCAGGCATCATCAATGGGTTGCAAGGGGCTGCATCGATCCCAGCTGGCGTTGCCGCTTCGGTCACTTGTGACATGAACTGGCCGGTCTCAGCACGCGGCTCCCAAGCCGACGTGGTCGTGCCGAGGCTGAGCTCGCCGAGCGTGGGGCCGGCAACACGGCAGTGGCTAAAGGGGAGCAGAGCCCGTGTGCCCCGCTCCTGGGTGGCAAGCCTGCGGGGATGGGACGGGGCCGCCAGCCGAGCCGACGGTCCCTCTGCTTCTGTCTCTCCTCCGTGCCCGACTCCGTGCCGCTCTCTTGTTCCCCAGTGAGGGCGACTGGTGGGAAGCGAGGTCCCTGAGCACGGGGGCCACGGGCTACGTCCCCAGCAACTACGTGGCGCCGGTGGACTCCATCCAGGCAGAAGAGTGAGTACAAGAGCCCACGGGGCAGCAGGTCCCGACCTCCTAGGTGCAGCCTGGGTTAGCTCTGTCCCCTCCGTGAGCTGCCAGTCAAGGCAATAGGACCCGGGTGTCCTGATTCCCAGAGGCTGGGTTAGCCGTGAGCTGCCCTGCCCCAAGTCACAGCCCCAGGGCCTGTCTATTCCCACCCCGACCAGGGTCTGTGCCACGTGGCGCCAGGCGCTGCATGGACACGTGCAGTGAGATGCTGTCGCACAGCACTGGGTCGCATGGGAAGCCAGTAGCAAAGCCCCGGTTGTCCCGAATCCCAGCTCGGAGCCCGCCAAAGGCAAGGTGCCCCAGTCTTTCTCAGCCCTCTGTGCCAAGGGGTGGTGTGCCCGCCGGGTGCTGCTGAGCTGCCCCCGCGTCCCCCCGCACAGGTGGTACTTCGGGAAGATCGGGCGGAAGGATGCGGAGCGGCAGATCCTGTGCCCTGGAAACCCCCGCGGCACTTTCCTCATCCGGGAGAGCGAGACCACCAAAGGTACCAGCCCCGGGAGGGTCTGCGGGCTGTGCCTGAGCCCCACGAGAACGGTGCCCGCTGGTGCCCTGGGGGGGGGGTCAGCTCCTGGCCTGACCCGGAGGCTGTGCCCGCAGGTGCCTACTCCTTGTCCATCCGGGACTGGGACGAGGCGAAAGGCGACCACGTGAAGCACTATAAGATCCGGAAGCTGGACAACGGCGGCTATTACATCACCACCCGGGCCCAGTTCGAGACGGTGCAGCAGCTGGTCCAGCATTACATCGGTGAGGGGGTCCGGGTCCCAGGCCAGGAGCCCCCCAAGGCGGGGTAGGGCTTTGGGGCAGTGCCGTGGTGCCTCCACCTTCCAGCTCCCCACTGGGATGGAAGAGACCAGACACAGGGACCCCTCTTCTCACCCTCTCCCACCCCGGGTGCAGCAGCTGGAGGCATGGGAGTGTCCCTTGGTTGTGACTCCCCAGCACAAAGAGGGGTCCCAGGGTGCAGCCCCTGGGGTGGAAGCCACGGGGAACCCCGCAGCCCAGATCCCACGTGACCTCCTTGGCTCTGCACCGCCAGGAAAACCTCCCTGGGCCCTGGCAGGAGTGGGGATGGTGGGCTCGGGGCACAGAGGTGCAGATGCAGGGCCCCAGCCCTGTGTCGGGGCTCCCCCCAGCACCCTAGCTGCCTGGTAGGATTGCCCCTGCTAGCATCTGACCCACCCGTGAAGGTGCTGCCCCCTGGGGGTTGCCCCCCATCAGGCGTTTTACTGCCCAGGACCCACGGCTCTAACCCGCTCTCCGTCCGCGCTCTCACCTCTCTCTCCATGCCCGGCTCGTGCCCCAAGAGCGAGCCGCGGGGCTGTGCTGCCGCCTGGTCGTGCCGTGCCACAGGGGGATGCCCAAGCTGGCGGACCTGTCCGTCAAAACCAAAGACGTGTGGGAGATCCCCCGCGAGTCGCTGCAGCTCCTCAAGAAGCTGGGCAATGGGCAGTTTGGGGAAGTCTGGATGGGTAGGCCCTGGGCCGCTGGGGCCCGGGCTGGGAGAGGCGGGGGAGAGCCCCCAGCCCCGTGGGGGAGCACGGCAGAGACTGGATCAGGCCTGGGCAGCTCCAGGACATGGCTGCGGGCACGCCACAGGCTCTGCAGAGACTGTGCAATGAGTTTGCTGGAGCTCAGGCCTTCCTGGGGGGTGCAGGGGGGTCTCCGGTGTGTGGGCCACGGGGCAGTCCCGTCCCAGCCGTTTGGCAGGGGCTTGGCCCTCGGATCCAGTGTCTGCTTCAGTGCTGCCCCGGGCGCAAGCCCCATCACCTGCTCCAAGCCGCGTGCTCCAGGCCAGGCCAGCGAGTCTGGGGGTCAGGGCCACGGGTCTCGAACCCCAGGATCACCCTGGCTTCTGCAGCAGCCGCCCGTGGTGAGGGGCTCTGGGTACTCCCGGTGCCCCCGTCCCTGTCCCCTACCCCTGCTAAGCCCGCATCCCAGTGTAAGCCGGCATCCCCACCTGGTGCCCAAACCCGAGACTGCAGCCCGGTGGCCCCTGGCCGAGCATCCGTGAGCAGGTGATGGGGGGACCAGCCGGGGCCGAGGGGCCTTCCTCCTCCTCCTCCTCTCCCTCGCCCGGGCGCCCGCTGGCTGCGCGCGTGCATGTTGCATCCATTCCATTTCCAGCCCCTGTCCCTCCATCATCCCCCCCCTCCAGAGTACAATGACGGTCTCTGCCATCTACTAACCCGGGTATGCCCCAATATGCGGCCCCAGACCCTGGGCCTAGCTAAGGACGCCTGGGAGATTATGCGGGATTCCATCACCTTGGACAAGAAGCTCGGCATGGGCTGTTTCGGAGACGTGTGGATGGGTAAGGCGAGCGCTGGGGATACCCAGAGACCCCCATTAGCTAGGGTTCTCCCTGCTTGTACGCCCTCCATTTCATCTGGGGCAAAGAGGGTGGGCGCGCGTGTGCTGGGAGCCCCCGCCTGACCCAACCCTGCCGGCTCCAGGCACCTGGAACGGGACCACCAAGGTGGCGGTGAAGACGCTGAAGCCGGGCACCATGTCGCCCGAGGCCTTCCTGGAGGAGGCGCAAATCATGAAGCGGCTGCGGCACGACAAGCTGGTGCAGCTCTACGCCGTGGTGTCAGAGGAGCCTATCTACATCGTCACCGAGTTCATGAGCCAGGGTGAGCACGGGCATGGCCTCGGGGGCCGGGCACCACCACTCAAGGGATGCCCGTGGCATCCAGCATCCTGCATGCCTTGTTTCTGGAGCGGGCAGGAGCAGGGCACTGTTGGGAGGAGGCTCGCAACACCGTCACTGCTCAGCTGGGCTCTCGTGGTCAGTGACCAGGAGAGAGGACTGGCAAGGGTAGGGGGCGAGGGGTCTTGAGGGGGCAGGGGCTGATGCCAGGCTGTCTCCCCGCAGGGAGCTTGCTGGACTTCCTGAAGGACGGAGATGGCCGGTTCCTGAAGCTGCCGCAGCTGGTGGACATGGCCGCGCAGGTAGCCAGGGCAGGGGCACGAGGATGACCCGGGGGCTCAGGCTGGGAGCTGCCCTCCTCCTCCTCCTTCCAGTCCAGGGCCAGGCAGGTCCTGCCAGCCCCAGGCACGGCGAGGGCTGCAGGAGGGGTCTCACTCTCCTCCCCCCGTTGCCCCAGATCGCAGCTGGTATGGCCTACATCGAGCGGATGAACTACATCCACCGGGACCTGCGCGCCGCCAACATCCTGGTGGGGGACAACCTGGTGTGTAAGATCGCCGACTTTGGGCTGGCCCGCCTCATCGAGGACGACGAGTACACGGCGCGCCAGGGTGAGCCCCCGGGCTGGGCACAGCGGGGCTCCCTTCCACCCCCAGCCACCACATCCAGCCACGAGGCAGGGTGAGGCTTGTCCCCCCGCCTTGGCACAGCCCTGTCGCTGCCCGCAGGCGCCAAGTTCCCCATCAAGTGGACGGCCCCGGAGGCCGCGCTTTTCGGCCGGTTCACCATCAAGTCGGACGTGTGGTCCTTCGGCATCCTCCTCACCGAGCTCGTCACCAAGGGCCGCGTGCCCTACCCAGGTATGGCTCTCAGCTCCCTCCTCCAGGTCCTTTGGGGAGCCCTGGGATAGAGCGGGGGTGAGCGGTTAGAGCATGGCCTGGGCATCAGGCTACCTGGGGTCTATTTGTGGCATGGGGGTGGATGGACTGGGCTCCCAAAACCCCGGGTTCTTTTCTCCATTGCTGTTCTGCCCATGCCTCAGGTTTTCCATCTGTAAAATGGGGGCGGTGCTATTGCATTGGGAGGTGATGAGCACGAGACAAGACGGCAGCGGGCAGGCTGGCTGTCAGGACTCCTGGGTTTCCTTCCCAGCATGGGGGGAGATAGCAGGGTGGGGAGCCAACCACTCCCCAACCCCTGTGCCTGACCTGGCACGTATGACACAGGCATGAACAACCGGGAGGTGCTGGAGCAGGTGGAGCGAGGATACCGCATGCAGTGCCCGGGCAGCTGCCCGTCCTCACTGCACGAGCTGATGGTGCAGTGCTGGAAGAAGGAGCCCGAGGAGCGCCCCACCTTTGAGTACCTCCAGTCCTTCCTCGAGGACTACTTCACCGCCACCGAGCCCCAGTACCAGCCCGGGGATGACCAGTGAGGCCGTGCCAGGACCCTTCATGGGGCCAGGACACCCCCCTGGTTTGCTGGGGATTTTTTTACTCCCCGCCCGCCACCGAGCTCCCCTCCCCCATGGCCACAGGGGTGGGGGGCACCAATGCACCCTATTTCAAAGGGGTCCCCACAGAGCTGTTCCTATGGAGGGGGGAGCTGTGCCCCTCTTCTCTCCCTCAATGCCCTCCGCTGCCTCGCTGGGCTGGGGAAGTCGTCCCCACCAGGCCCAGCAGCCATGGGGGGAGGCACATGGCAGCCCCGCTCTCTCCCCAGGCTCGCAGACGTGCTGCGCCCACAGCTAGTGCCCGCATCGTCCAGTCTGGGTGGGCTGGGGAGAAGCAGGCCTGCCTCCTGCCACGGAGAAAGGCCACGGGTGGATGGAGCATCCCCCAGGCGAAGGCAGAAGCTCGCCAACCTCCAAGCTGTGATAGCCCAGGGGCACGTGGCCTCTCCAGCCCTGCCCTGGAGGTCCCGGGGGGTGGCAGGACCTGGGGTGGGGGCGAAAGGCTCCTTCCCCAGCTCCCTCTGCCGCAACGGCACTGCTCCTGGGGAGACACTGGCAGGGGGCCCCCCCCCCCCCCCCCGCCGCTTGCACACTTTTTGTACATAACTTTTTTATGATGATGGTGATTATTTATAAGACTCAAACCCTGCCCCCCCCGACCCCCTCGCCAGGGTGTCCGGGCTGGAAGAAGGCCAGTGGGGGGATGTGACTTCTGTTTCTCCTCCTCTCCCCCCATCCCCGGACTCATCACTGGCTTCAGTTGCTTTTCCTTTGACCAGAGCCAAATCGATAAAGCCATATGCTGCTGCTCGGGGCGGGGGGAGCAGTCAGCGCCACCCCCTGGGACCAGGGATGCGCCGGAGCCTGGCACGGCGGGTGCAGGAGGGGGCAGGAATTACCTTACCCTGGGGGAAAGATCCCAGATTTAAGCCTTCATAGCTGGTCGCCTTCCCCCTATCATTGCCTTATGCATTATGGTCCAGGGGCTGGAGCGATGCGGGTGCAAGTCGGCCCCAGCCACGTGCCCCCCATGGGAGTCCTGAGCCCTGTCCCCTTCAGACCCCCCAGGCTGGAGCGGTCTGTGCCCCCCGAGAGCCCAGCCCCTCTGCCTGGCATGGAGGTTGCCGCCAGTGCACCCATGGGGCTGGGGGGCCCTGTCCGTCCCTGCGTGGAGGAGTGGGGCTGGGGGCTGCACCTCCGGGGTTGGGGTTTTTTCCACATGGGTTCTGTAAATACAAAAAAATAAACCTTTCTACCAAGAGCTGTGCCCTGCGGGTCCTCAGCCGTGCCCAGGCCAAAGGCAGGGGGCTCGGAGAGATGCAGACCGGCTCTCAGGTGGTTTCCAGGGAGCCCCCTGGGCAAGTGGGCATCTCCCCAAGCAGGGGGTGCTGCTGGGCTGGATGGAGGGATGCCACCACCCCCCACCCCAGCGCCTGGCGGCCTTCTCCGTGCCCAAGGACGGGGCAGCGTGACCTTCCCCGCCGGGCCCAGAACGTCACCGCTCGTCACATGAATGAGAACGCAGCCGGGCTGGGGGGACCCTGCCTCCCCTGCCCTTTCCCCCCTCCCAGCTGGCACTCATGCCGCGGCCGCCTCCTCCTCTGGCAGCGGGCGCCGCTTGACAGCCAGTGACTCATGCGCCTCTCGCCTCCCCCAGCTGCCAGGGTGTTAAAAATCATCCCTGCGAGCCATCTGCAGAGGCCATGTGGTCCCGCGCCACCCCCCGGCCCCGGCTGCACGCGGGGCCTGCCTGCCCTGACAGCTGGGCTCTGCGGCTCCGGCCAGCGGGCGCGTGGGGGGCAGGGGGTGCTGCGGTGGGGGGAGTCTTTCTTAGACTCGGCAACACAGGCACTGCAATGCAAAGGGAGCTGGCACGGGGTGAGGGGGACGGGCCTGGGGACAGGTGGCACGGATGCGGCATGGCGTGTTTGGGGCGCCGGGCTGACACGGAGTCACATGCAGGCATGCAGCGAGCTGCGTACACACACATGCATGCATACACACACAAATGCGTGCATGCAGACATGCGTGCCCAGTCACACGCAGACATCCACACACGTGCATGCATGCACATGTCATCTCACACATATGCACACACAATCACATGTGCACACACCAGCAGGCACATGCAGGTGCATACACACACTTGTACATCCACAACACGGGCGCACACACATTCACACTCCACCCCAACACGGCTGTCCTGCAAGCCAGGGGGTTCCCCTCCATGCCTCTAAACAGGCTCCCTTGCTCCCAGACCCTCCCTGCCCTGGGCTGCGTCAGGAAGGGCTACAGGAGCAGGCGTTGGGTGGAAACATCTTCCGAGGCCGTGGCACCGGCTTGCACCTGCTGAGACCTGGGCCCAGTGCCTTCAAGATGCATGCAAAGGCTGAGACCCGTTGGCTTTCCCTCCCACAGCTCAGCCCTGCCGGGCTACACATCTCCGTGTCTGTGTCCGTGTCTGTGAGAGCTGGACATGGGAGGGCACCAGCCCATGTGGCTGCCCCCTCAATTGGCCACAATCCCCAGTGCTTAACACCTGCTTGGCATCTTCCATAAGGAGCAGAGCACAGGTTGGGATCAGCCTGGCTCCCCTCCGGGCTGCTCAGGCCATGAGGCTCCCAGGCCAGGCCCTAGGATCTCCAGGTGCTAACAGACCTTTGGAAAAAGGGCTCCGGGGCCTCTCTTCAGCTGCGTGGATTAGCGAGTGCAGAAGGACCGAATGCTGCAATCCGAGAGCCACAGCCTGGAGCATGCAACCCTGGGGACGCGGCTGATTGCAGGTCCACCTGCCCCCACCTACCCTGGCTGGGGTCGGATGAGGTCTAGCACATGGCTGGTATGCAGCGCTGTGAAGCCAGTCGGCCCTGCACCAGGGCAGGGGGTCATTGTGGACGTGGCTGGGTCCATGCGGGGAGCTTGGGCAGGGGAGTGGGGTGAGGCTGGGCCAGGGGGCTGTTAACTGGGGTGGGGGGGGCCAAGCACAGCCTGGGTGTCAGACCGCACTCTGCAGATCCAGGGCACTGACACCTGTGCCAGCCCCAAGAGAGGCGCCTGGTGCCCTGCCTCGAGGCTGGTGGGGAAAGGGCTACCCCACTTTGCAGCCAGGGCTCCCAGCAAGGCAGCATCGGGCCCAGTTGTGGCCCCATTCATTCATTCCCAAGCATGGGGAAGTCGGGGGTCACCAGCTGTGGGGGGGCAGGAGGGCCTGGCTATGGGGAGCAACCCAACACCCTCAGTCTGGTCTGGAGGGGGGTCCAGGCTGCAGCAGGAGCTGCTGGAAGAGCTGGCTGTGGGAGGGAGGAGGCCTTGCACACACCTGTGTCTCTGCATCCCCATGCAGGGGTGTGAGATGTGTATGCATGCACACACACACACACAGATCCCTGCTGTGGGCAAATGTAGATCCAGGTCCTGCCAAACCCAGGGCTTTTGGTGGTGACAGGCGCACCCAAGCCAGCACGCTCCCACTGACTTGTGCACGCGCACACGTGCCAACAGGCTGCATACATGGCAGTCGCACGGGTCTGTGCGCACACTGGCGCTGGTATGCCATGCCACTGTGCAGAAGCACGTGTGCACCGTCTATGCCTGCTGAGGTGCTGCTCATGCACATGGGGTCTGGCTGTACACAGGCGTGTGTGTGTGCACATCCACGCCCTGCTCTTTGCTGAGCATGCACAGCACACGGCATGCGGTGTACGTCCCCAGGCTGCCTGGGTGCCCAGCAGAGGAGGTTGCCCACCGCGGTCAGCGCCCAAGGGCAGCTCCCGGGCACCCTGCCTGCTCCCTGCCTCCCTCCCTGCCCCAGCCCACCCTCGCCCCCCCAGCCCTGCCAAGCTCGGCAGACCCGAGCCCCTCGTCTCTCATCACCTCCCGGAGGAACAAAGAGGACCTCTGACCCCGCCGCCCCTCCCAGTGCCCAGAGGCCTTGGCCAGGAATCCATTTGTGGCTCAGCCCTGCCGTTTGAAGTCTCCGGCCGGCTGGGAGGTTTTAATTGCAGCTGGTGGTTTCCTGTTGCACCGAGGAATTTATAGAGCCGGGGCGGCTTCCAGGGTGCGGGGCACCGCAGACCTGGGGCTCAAACAAGGTATGCAGGGAGCCCCCCCGGATGGGCTGGGCCTTGCAGAGCAAGCTGGCTGAGGGGCAATGGGGGGTGACGGGGAGCTCCCTGCTTCTGCCTCCGAGCCCAGGAGATGCTGAGCGGCCGTGGGGAGACACGCAGCAGCCGTAGCAGCTCTGAGCCATGCGTGGCTATTCGCACGGGCTCAAGGCGGGGGCTCAGCGGGCCGGGGAGGAGGCTGGCTGGTGAAACCCCCCTGGAGTCACAGCTGCCCAGCCCCAAGGGTGCCCAGTATGGGGCTGGGGTGCCGGAGAGCCGGGCTCTGCCACAGACCACCTGGGTGACCTTGGGCAAGTCCCTTTGTTCCAGCTGTGCAGGGGGTGCAGGGACCAAGCCAGGCTTTATTTTGGGAGCAGGGGCACGTGGCAGGCGGCATGGCTGCGTGCAGCCCCTCGCAGAGAGCCCCACCTCGCCGCCGCTCTCCTCCCGGCTGCTTTCCGGTGACCCTTCCCCTTGTCTCTATCTGGGTTCCCGCGCGCTCGGCCTTGCCCTGGCAGGCTCAGCCTCTCCCTGCCAAAGCAGGAGGAGATATGCCTTGCACCTTGCACAGGCATGCACACGTGCAGACACTCACCTGCCCTGCACATGCACGCACACCCACCTTGCACACATGCACATAACTTGTGCATGCACACACACTCATGCACACATAGGCACACTCCTTGCAGTAATATGCACACACACACTCACATGCGCGCACACACACACCCATACTTGTACACACCTGCCTACCCACTCAGGTATATCTTGCATGCACATGCTCACACACACATCTTGCACACATGCACACGCTCCCAGTTGGGGGCGGTTACTGGGCTGGACTTGCTTCCAGCCTGGCGGATGTGACCGAGAGGGCCATACGATGGTCCCAGGAGCAGCCCGGGGTGGCACAGCTGGGGCATGGGCAGCCTGGCACTGGCCTCTGCAGATGTCATGGGTGTCACGTGCCTCCCTGACCACACTGGCAAATTGCAGCTCCCTGCCAGCAGCCTTGGCCTCGCCAGGACGCCCTCGCGGAGAGCTGGGGTGGCCCCTGGCTTGTGGGGGGCAGCTGCATGGGAACAAGATGAGATGAGAAAGCTGCTTGTCTTCGGGCAGGGGGAGGAAGGGAAGGGAAAATGGTGGCAGGGCGTCAGGCGAGGAGAGGAACCAGAGCGGGGGGCGGATGGAGAGACTCCTGCGCCTGGCAGCCGGAGCTGGGCTGCAGCCAGGCCAAGCTGGGGGGAGCCTGGCTGCTTTCTCTCCGGAGGCAGGCTGCGCTGGCGACAGACTGAGCTCACCAGCCCCCTCCGTCCCCGTGCTCAGCCCCTGGCGCAAGGGGGAGGAGGCCAGAGACTATTTTTGGCCCGCTGCTTCCTGGGGTCTGAGCAGCCTCAGCCCTGCCCAGGCGGTCAGCCAGCTCAAGCTGGCTCCTGCCGGTGCTGCCACCCATCTCCTGCCGGGGGTTCGACCCCCCCACTGGTCCCCCGCAATGCAGGCAGTCTCTGCTGGGTACCCCAGCCTGGCAGCAAGGGCGGTGAGTGGCTCCCCATGCACGAGCCGAGACCCATGCAGCTCCTACTACGGCCCAGCAGCCTCCTATTCCCGGTGGAGCCCAGCAGCTTTGGCTGGGCTAAGGTGTCTCACCCAGGAAGGCTGGTCCAGCTTGCCCGCTGCAGCGCCCAAAGCCTCTCCAGGACAAGAGACGTCTCGCAGGACAAGAGCCGCTGGCTCTGTCTTGCAGTTTTTTCACCCCTCCAGATTTTCAAGCCCTCGGGGCCAACTCGGGTGCCAGGGCCCCATCACAGCCCAGGGGCACCGGAGGGGCTGGCGCCGGCCCCTAAAGAGACTAGAGCAAGGGTCGGTGTGAGACGGCAGGCGGCAGACCTCGCACTCGGGCTCCCTGTTTCATGGCCTGTCACAGCAGGGAGCAGGCGCCCGAGGCTGGATCACGAGGCGCTGGAGCTGGGCCCCGGGTCTGGCTCTTTCCTCCTGTCTGCGGCGGTGCTGGCACCGAGTCACGCTGGGGATTAGTCACTTGGCGGTGCCGGGGGTGCGGGGCCTGCTCACCTCCTTGTCACTAGCAGCCAGCTGGCTCCCTGCACTAGCATGGGGTCCAAGGGGGGTGGGCAGTTGCATGACCCCCCAGCCTCGTGCAGGGGGAAACAAGGCTGCTGCATCCCAGGGATCCCACTGCTCAGCAGGGCACCTGCTCCCTCGGTGCCCCGTGATCACTGGAAGCTCAGGTGTGACGGGCCTGAGCTGAGCTTGCCGAGCGAGGGGGCAGGAGCTGGTCTGGGGGGTAGGAGGTGGCCTGATTGGGAGTGGAGGGCCAGGATAATGCCCTGCCCAGCACGGACAGAGGAAGCCACTCCCATGCTTCAGGGCATCCACAAGCGGTCAGGGTCAGGAAGGAACCCCTGGGCTGGGACTTCCCCTTCCCTTGTAAAGCCTGCCTGGCTCTGGATTGAAGCCTGGATGGGCAGGGAGGGGGCAGGGGCCCTGTTTAATCGTGGGCAGGTGGGCAAGGCAGGGGCTGGGGCTCTCCAGAAAGGCGGTAGAAGCAGCCGCAGGAGCAGAGCTTGCTCTGCAGCTGCTGGGTGGGGGGTCTTGCGTGCACCCCCAAGGGCTGGGGGAACGGGGCAGCTAGGGCTGGGAACAGGGGTGCCTGCCCTGGCCGAGCGGGGGTCTGCCATCCTTCTGGATGCCAGGAGACCAGAACATCGTGCCAGGATGCACCAGCCTGGGACTTGCCCGACACCACAGGTAGGGATGCAAGCTGTCTTCCCTGGGGGGACACGTGCCTTCACACCCACACCCCGAGCCCTGCATTCGGTCTGTCCCCTTGCCTGCCCTCCCGGCACTGCTGTGGGGCTGGGACATGGCAGGGCAGGGTAGACCATGGACAGCTTCAGCCCCTTGGAGACAGCCTCCACCATTCTCTGCAGCCACGAGCCCTGCCGTGAGTCTGGATGCTAGTCGAGGCAGACTTGGGCCCTGAGCACGGGCACGTGAAGGAGCAGTGATTTATTGAAGAGCCACAGTCATGCTCTGCTCCCTGTTTCCTCCAAGCTGCACGACTCTGTGTGCGCGTGTTTGTGTGCATGAGTACGTGTGTGTGTTTGTGTCTGTGAGTTTGCATGCATGAGTGCGTGTGTGTGTGCGCGCACATGCATGGGCTCTGCATGCGCAGGTCATGCGTGCGGAGGGTGCCTGTTGCTTTTGCTTCCCTTTTTGGTCCTCTGGGAAGGGCGGCTTCCTTGCTGCCCAGGCTGCGCCCCGGGGCCTGGGTCCAGGGGAGACAGACAGCCAAGCAGGCTGGGGCAGCAACATGTGCTAGAGGGGGGCCCCGGCAGTGACACTCGTGCCTGGCATGTCGTCAAACGGGCCCGTGCAGGGTTTGCTTTCCCAGTGAAACTCTCAGGCTCGTGGCCCCACTGAACTGGCAGCTTCGTATTCCCGTGGGGCGGAGAAGAGCTGTCAGATGTGCCCCGTTTCAGGGCACAGGCTCTGCACGAGACATCTGCCAGAAGCAGGCCATCCATTGCAGGCACTTCCCTCCGCAGCAGCTGGGCCAGGAGACCAGGCGTGCGTCCTTCCAGCCGGGGGCACAGCGCTGACCTGGCTCTTCCCCCTCCTCTGTCCCCGTTGCGTGCAGGCAGACGTGGCCTTGGAGCATCCCGGGCAAGCCCGTGCCCCTCCTGGACTTGCAGAGCCCTGGTACAGATCGGCACGCTCCTCTGACTCGGTTGCCATGACCCTGGGCGGGGATCAGATGCAGACGTGCCCCGGCTTCTCCGGCATCTGGTCCCTCGCAGAGGCCCGCGGGCAGCTCCAGTTAAAACTGCCATGACTCGCACTATAAAACCCTGCCTGTGTGCTGACCACAGCTCCGGCCTCTCATCATCAGATGCAGCGGGGGAGCCCGCGTGGGGTAGGAAGACATTAGATATACAGTCCCGTGGCTGCAGCTGAGGTGTGCATCTCCTGGGACCGCTCCGGCAGGCCTGTCTTGAAATACAAGGGTGTAAATGCAGCGCACACACTGTCGCCCTAGCACACGCTCTCTCCACGGCACCTGCAGGCATGCGGCCTCTCCTGTCTCCCTGCTGCAGGTGTGCCTGGGTTCTTGTTCCTTCCTCATCCCGGCGGTGAACCTGGACCCGGCTGGGGTGGATGCTGCTGGGACCCGGAGCCGGGTGGGTGCATACTGCTCCTGGGAGCCCGGCAGCACCGGCCGGCCCAGGCAGCCACTAGATGGTGGCCTTACCTCGTGCAAAGGCTGCTGATGAGGCACTTGTCGGGGAGAGAAACCCCACGTGGAGAAGGGTTGGGAGGCAGAAGCCAGGTGCCCGCGGTGCTGGAGAGGTCCTGGCCGGGTTGCAGGTGGCAAGAGATGTGCACAGCATCCTGGGGCTGAGGCTGTGCGGACCCTGGGCATCGTCACCATGTTCCTTCTCCAACCCCATGGCTTGGATCCTGGGGGTACGAGAGCATTGCTGCGTTCCCCACCTCCCGCCGGGAGCCTGGAGCAGGGATGGGCCCGTGCTGGGCCCAATGCTGCCTGCTGCTCCGTGCTCTGCACCTCTAGTGCAGCCTCAGCCGCTCGCTGCGGTGGGAGGAAAATTTGGCTCTGGTGGCTTCAGAGCCTCTCTGGGGAGGAGGGGCTGGTCAGCAGGGTGGAAGGAGACCCGGGCAGCTCCTGTGTGGGGGCACTCGGGGGACCACAGGCGTTGGTGCAAGTGGGAAGATGCAAAGCAGGTGATTACTGGACCTCTCAGGACCCAGGCAGCCCCTCCTGTTGGGGGGTTGGAGTAGCTCAAACCCCTTTGCCATTTAATTGTAGGCAAATACCCTGTTCTCTAGCACCGCAGCCATCTCCAGTCCCTTGCCCGCTAGCAATGCATCGGACCCTCATCCACCATGGGGACGTTTATCACAGGGTAAAGTGACTTGGCCTAGGTCACCAAGCAAGTCAGTGGCAGAGCTGGGCAGATCCTCCCTCCCTGGGAGTTGCGACATACTCGGAGCCACTGCCGTCTCCTTCACGGCACGCAGGTCTGGAGCCGCACGCGTGCCCCTCTATGGCTAGGCCGCCGTGTGGGCTGAAAGCCACGACAAGGTGAAATTCAACCCAGGGGCTTCGGGGATGAAATCAGCTCGAGCAGTTTATATAGATTCTCCGGCCTCCGCTATTGAGTTACGGCCCGAGGAATGGCTCAGGGCCCGCACATTGTTATTCACAATCTGTGAGGCACACATCCACGCCATATAAATATTCAGCTCGGACTAATTGCTTATGGAACGGAGACCCGTGTCGGTGACACAGCAGAACCAGGCGCGCCGGGGCCAGGGACGGCAGGGACTCAATCACAGCGCCGGCCGCCGGGAGGGAGGCCGCAGACGTGCCCGCACCTTCGGGAGAGCGCGGGGGAGAAGGGGGACCGCCCGCCCGCTCACTCGCTCGCCTGCCTCGTGGGAGCTCTGCACCCCGGTTTGAGGAGCCCCGAGACGAGGCCCCGGTCCGCAGCGTGCCCGGCTTTGCTCCATCTCATCCCAGCCCTGTGCCAGGCTGATATATATATTTCATGATAACTTTCGAGACGCGCTTCAAACCCGACAAAGGACTTTGACAGTTTTAAGCATCTCTTTGATTAATACATGACCTTTTAATGCTTTTAGATTAAATTAATAAATCTTTTAAAATTTAAACCTCTTCTTCTTGCAATGTAAGGTTTTCTGCACGGCCTTTTTTTTTTTTCTTCCTCCCACCCGCTTCTTTTCTCTCCGGACACGGCACCCCGATAGCGGGCATCCTGCTCGGGCAGGGCGTTCCTTCAGGTGTAGGCGTGCCGTATTCAGATGGGGTGAAGCCCTCGAGAGGGGAAGAGGTGAATCCTTATTGATTCGGATGAGGTCCCCAAAATAGCAAGAGCGTTCGAAGCCGATGCCATGGGCCAGGCAGTTTGAGAGTAAACGTGCGTGTGCAAGTAGGATTTGGTCCTGCTTGTGTGCTGATGGCTCGGTGTGAATTAAACCCGTGACCCTGGGTAGGTGGGGAGGGGGCTGATATTTCCAGGTGCAAAGTTTTCCTCTCCATCTCGCACCCCTGCCTTATTTCAGGGATGACTCACGTGCGATTAACGTGCCAGGATCTTCGCAATCCCCTGGAGTTAACCCTTCACTCATGGAAATGAAATGTCACAACAGACCTCAGTCAAATTACGTGTTTTAATTGGATTGTCTCGGCGAGCCTCTGGGAAGCCAACGGCGCTTGGAGATCCGTGGAGGGGAAGCCCTGCAGCCGCGCGGCTCCCTTGGAGAGGCGGAGGCAATGTGGTGCGTGGGGCAGGCTGCGGGGTGGGCGTTAGGACGCCTGGGGTCTATTCCAGGCTCTGCCGCTGCCTTACCACATGAGCTTGGGCAAGTCACTTGTCTTTTCTGAGCATGTTTCCCTTCCATCCCGTGCCTGCCTTTCCTGCTTAGACTATCAGCTGCTTGGGGATGGGGTTGGCCTTTATGATGTGTATGTACAGCTCCTAGTGCCAAGGTGGGGAGACCCAGACAGCTGTCTCCAACTCTGCCAGACCCCTGGGAGGCTGCCGGAGGTCCCAGGAAATGCTGCTTTCCCCGGGTTACCGAGACACTGATGGGGAGAGCAAAAGCTCGGCCTGGGTGCCCAAAACTCGGCCCACCCCTGCCCCCGGTCTGCCCTGGACAAGCCGCAGAGGCACAGCCAGCACCCCCAAGACTGCCCTTAAAACATGGGCCGTGCTCCCCAAAAGGGCACCTCCTGCACCCGCCCTTTGCAGCGCAACCCAGACAGCTCCTTCTGTGCTGGGAGCGCTCGGGGAGGGAGCCGTGGGGGGCCCTGCCTATGCACCCCCACATCTCCCAGTGTCACCCCCATCCCCTGCGCTGTGC